ACCAGCGTTTCAGCCTGCTCCTTGGCAAAGTCATAAATTGAGCAAAAACCTGCAAAATTTACTCGAGGATTAAAAAAATTCAAGTAATAAATTTATGTTCAAGTATTAATTCAAGTAGCAAATTCAAAATTCAAGTAGTAAATTCAAAATTCAAGTAGTAAATTCGATTTCAAGTAGTAAAAGTAAAAGTTCAAGTAGTAAAAATTCAAGTAGTAAAAGTAGCAAAAATTCAAGTAGTAAAAAAAAAATTCAAGCAGTAAACTCACCGAGAGAAATGTCATTGGATCACCGCTTTCCTCACAAAACGACAGTTTTCTCTGATCCGCCAAACCATAATTCTAAAAATTTCATAATTCTAAGTTATATATATTGCACAAAATTTCAGCTCTTCTACATTATCTGTAACGCTAGCGAGGTGAAGATGTGGTCAAATTCGAAAATTCGTTTTCGATTTAACAAAAAAATTGGTACTGGTGCATGTCAGAGAGTCAAATTCACCATCTAATCTCCTCACCAATAACCCTTCCCCTGACAGACGCAGAGCCTTAATGAGGGTGGAAAGGTTAATCAAGCTCCCCCTAGGGGGCGTACGGACCTTTGGATTCCCGAGGAGGTGGAGACCCATAAAAACCTGTGCTGCCAGTACGACCGGTTAATAAAATGGCAGGAAATCAGTATAACCGGTTAATAAAATGGCACCACCATCACCATCAACTTACTTTTAATCAACTTTAAAACAAATAGAGAAAACGATGGCCTTGCCAGCTTGGTGATTGCTGTTGGCTTACAATCTTGGCCATTCCTGAGCACTTTTCATTTCTGGGAAAGGACAAACACTGGGAGAGAATTCTGACTTTTTTTTGAGTTGTTCAGCGCAAAAAGTGCTGGCAGGCTGAAGTTACGCCCGCAATCGTAATATGAGATCCGAATCGAAACAACAAGCTCCCGGCCGTTCGTACGGGAAAACAATCTTAATTCGTTTCGATGGTAATTTGGAAATGGAAGATAAATGGCGAGGAACCAAAACCACTACACCAGCAGCTTCACTGGCGGATCCAGAGAGAGGCCGAAGAGGGAAAGGGGTGGAGGAGAGGGTGGCGATGGATCT